TAACTTCAGTGATCGGACGAGAACTGGTGTATTCAACGTGGTATGGCCGTAACCGAAAGCTTTTTTATTATATTTCATTCTGAATATTCATTTTCAATAGCTATTCTTTGATCATTTTATATTTCATTGTAAAGGATAATTGAATGAATATTATTACAATATAATTTCTTCTTTTCAAAAGAAAAGAACTAAATTATATAACAAGATTTGATAATTCAATTTCAGCATTGACATCAAAGAGGGTATTACAAGCTTGTAGACGAAGTTCGGCTTTCATTGCTTTACATTGTTTTATTTCTGAATTCATTTTATATCGTGAGATCATGTCGTTGTTTGTCGATATGAATCTCATTTGTTGATGAATTTGTTCAGTTTTTGTCTTTGAATAAATAGAAATAATATTAATTTTCTTTTTTTTACGAAATAAAAAAACTATTACAAAATAAAGTTGATTAATCCATAGTAGTTTTTCTCTCCAATGAACACATTGATAAATAGTCTTCATCAATTGATTTACAAATGTTGGATAGTCTTCTAATGCTTTATGAATATTAATATGCATTTGATTGTTTCGAACAATTAATGGTTGATGAGATATACTTTGGTATAAATCATCTCTTTTAACTAGTTTATTATAATGTGATGAAATAGTAATTATAGATTTTTTTTGTAAATCTTGAAGATTTTTCGAAAGTCGATTATTTTCTTGTTGTAAATCTAAAATATGATGAATAAAATGATTTCTATGATATGAATATTGTTGTCGAGTAATCATATCATTTAATTGTTGAGATAAACGAATTTTTTCTTGTAGTAATGAATATTCATCTGTTCGACGTTTATTTGTACTGATTATATCAAGTATTTGTTGTTTAATATTATGAATATTAACTTTTAATTGTTCATTTTCTTCAATTTTATCAATAATATGATTTATTTCATTATCCGATAGTTTTTCAAATTGATCTTGTTTTTTATGTAACTCATTTAATTTTCGCGATTTTTGTTGATAAGAATAATTACATATTTGCTTTTGATTCGATAGCACCATTCGATCATGTTTTTGTTTATGAAATTTTGAATGAAGTAATCGAAAATGATCTATTTTATTTTGAAGTTCATTTTCAATTAATTGAGTTTTCTTAGTTAAAAAATATATTTTATTATCATGATTACGAAGATAATGATTAAGTGAAGTACGATGTTTTTCATGACTAAATGAAAAATCAATTAGAGAAATGGAAGTTTGATTTGTTTACTTTTACTTCATAAGTTCAGTTTTTTTCTCTCGTACATTTAATTGAAAATGCTTCAAAAAAAACATTGAGTTTCTTTTATGAATGAAAAATCTAATTACTTTTTCAGTGTTATTAAAATCATGAAAAATATTATCTAATCGAATTATTTCTAAAGAATTTCGAATTGTATTCGTAACTAAACGACGTTCATTGATAGATAATGTATGAAGACGTTTATTATGTATAATAAGTTGTTGACGTTTTTGAAATGAGAATTGTTTAATTGAACGAAGTTTTTCTTGTTCATTTAATCGAATAAAACGATTTTCATGTAAAATTTTTTCTAAATTATTATTTAAATGAATAATCTTTTTTAACGCTATTTTTATTGATGTAATTTTATATTGTTGATCGTCAAGATGAAGAATATTTGTTGAAATTATATGTTGATTTATTTGATTTCGTTTATTTATCTCTGTTAATTGTCTCAATAGATTCTTAACACGATCTTGAAGTTTTAATTGATTATGTTTATATAACACTTGTTTACGTTCTAATATGGAATTAGTATGTTCTTCAAATTTAATAAGTTGATGAGTATGTCGTTTTTCTAATTCGAGTTTATGCGTATGATGTCGAAGGTTTTGTATTTGATCACGATAGGTTAGAATACATGTTTGTTCTATAAAAAAGGATGTTACCAATAAGATCTTTAGTTTTGATACGAACCTGTGGTGATTTCTTGTTTCGCATTGTCGATTTCTTGCTTGATCTGATATAAAAATACAGTCAAATATAGATGTATTTAATAAAATAATATTACATTTGTTTCATTTGTTTGTATCGCTATTAATTTTTTATTAGTTTGATCATAAGTTTCTGATAAAGAGTTTAACTGTTTTCCTACTTGATTGTATTGAATTTTAGTTGTTTTTATTCGATTTTGATATTCATTTTCCATATTTTTGGTTTTTTCAGCGTTGGTTTGAAGATGAGAAGTTTGTTTTTCTATAAATTATATTTTTTTATTTTTATGATTACGAGAAAACAAACCTATTTGTACCCAGTGATTTTGAACATGTTTCTGTTCTAGTTCGTTTTTAGATAAAATAGATTTAAGTTTTTGTAATTCTTTTATATATATTTCAATTTGTTTTTGAGTTGTTTGAATTGAATCTTTTCGTTTATTAATTAAGAGTTTTATATTTTCATTTTCCTTTATAAAACGATCTAATTTAATTTTTTGCGTTTCTTGAAGTGTTTCAAATTTATGTCGATTTATTTGTAATAATTGAGGATTACTAAGAAGTATTTGTAATCGTTCAATTTCTTGTTCTAAACTATAAATCATTGTCCAATATTGTTCTAAACAATATTGTGTATAACCAATTTGTCCAATAATTTGTGAAATTTTATTTTTTAAAAATAAAACTTCATTTTCATGATCATAACGATCATGAATATATTGAGTACAAATAGAAATAGTTTGCTGAATTGTATTAGTTAAATCATGGTATTCATCGGAAAGTTTTTGATGAGATTGAAGACTTTTTTGAAGAAATCGATGTATAGTGGGAACAATGTGAAATATCTGTTGAAGAGATGAATTCGTTTTTGATAGGGATTCTAATTGATTAGTTAGAGAATTGACACGATCAGTAAAATTAATATTTAAAGATTTATCAAGTGGAGATGATAGTTGTGGTGAATTCATTATAGACAAGTAAATGTTTGGCGCTATATTTATATATCTTCAAGATTTTTAATCGTAATGATTCTCAAACTGGTAAACAACTGTACTATTGTACAGTCTGAGGTTAGAATTCCGGTTAGTATTTGTATCGTTCGTGTTCTTCTCACATGATTGTAAAGCTCTCATATATCTATCATAAAACATATATATATAAATTATCGTTAAGTGATGTCAATGCAAATAATGGTGTTGCAAAGTATAACTGAATGTCAGACGAAATAAAAGATAAGCAATGAAAGGAAAAAAAACGAAAAACAATCACATCAGCATTTTTTCAACATAATAAGATAAAGATGTTTTTCTCACAAGGCTTCAAAATAGGAATCATATATTAAGAAATGATGATAATACTTTTTGCTAATATTTTCGAAGAAATGAACTAAAAGAGAATTACAACAATATCATAATATTTTTAGTGCAAAAGAATATTAGTATGATTGAAGCCACGCGCTGATACTGATCAATGACACGACATTAATCATATTAATGCAATAACAATGTAGATAAGTTTTCTTTTCACTATGTACAGAATGTGTTTTCTCAAGAATGTAAAAGTTAAATTTTAATTAAAAAAGAAATATTATATCATAAAGACCAAACACACATATAGTTATGTATGAGCATTCCTGTTTTCTTTCATTTTTTATTTATATAAGAAAAGAAAAATTATAAAATGTAATATTTACTTCCCCAGTTTCATTGAAGCATCGCGGCGAAGAAATTCTCTTTTCTATTCTTTTTAAAAACTATTAGAAAAAAATTTTTTATTTTAAATATTCAGAATATACAATGAGAACGACTCGGAAGGTATGTAAATGATTTCCTAAATCAGTCGTACAATACATTGTTTATCTTCGATTTTATAAGAGTTCTTATTCATTTCTAATGATATAAATAGTCATTAAAAACGTTAAAGGGTAACAAACATAAAAATTTGCATGTACGCTTAATTTCTTTCTATCTACATCATTATTGAAATATCAACGAGTACAGAACGAATAAAGTCTATAAAATCATATCATTGTATTGCTATTTTCTAAACATTCAATATAAACATACGTTGTCATACATTGACGATTGTTTATTATAAAAAGAAAAGTGAAGAAAAATGAAATACAATAAAAATCAGTCTCGCCTATAATTCATAGAAATGTCTTTATAGAAACGAATTTTCACTGTTTTAAACGTTGGGTGCAAGCATACGACGAATAACTGGATCATTTTTACATCTAAGAAAGAATAGAATAATAAAATAAAGAGAAAGATAATTTCTTATCAATATATATACCCAGCAATAAATTCTTGTTTGTTCAATTTTTTATCACCACCAACATCGAGTTTAGTAATAATTTCAATAGCACGTTTCTTTGGATCTTTATCACCTTTGCGATCAGATTCACCAACAAGATCATACTAAAAAAACAAGAATTCGTTCATTGAAATAACAAAAAAGAATAGAAATATTTTTACCATAGCTGAAATTAAGTTAGCTAATTCTTTTTGATCGATTTGTCCATCACCAGAAACATCATACATTTCAAATGCAACTTCAAGTCGATCATCTAAATCACCTTGGCTTGTTGCGGCAATAGCCAAAAGAAATTCATCAAAATCAATTGTACCATCATTGTTAGCATCAAATGTAGCAAAGGCATATTTGCAAAAAGAATCTGCTTTGCCTTGTGGATAGAATTGTTTGTAAACATCGACGAATTTCTTTTTATCGAGTTTACCACTTGGACAATCACGTAAAAATCCCTAATGAAAACGAAAGAATACTAAAATGAATAGAATGTAATTGAATTTAAAAAAACTTTACAGCGTGCCATTCTCGGATTTCTAAAAGAATGACAATGAATAAGAATAGAAATTATTTTTAAGACTTCTTACCTTTTTCAGTAAATTTAGTGTTGGCTTTAAGCATAGCAATTTCTATAAATAAAAACATTAAGAATAAAAATAAAAGAAAGTATTTATTAATAGATCACCTTTTGGTGTAAGTTCAAGCGATGCGCGTGATTTTTTAGATCCTTTACCACCCATGATGAATGAATTTAATTAATAATAGAAAAATCTAAAAAAATAAAAGATAAATTGTAAACTAACATCTATGCGGTTAGGGTACAAGACACTGTGGTATATAATTAGTCTGTTTTTATTTTAACATACTGTCGAATGGTATACTGTCGACGAGTAAAATGAAGATACTTATAGGCATACAAGAGAAAATGAGAGAGAGAGAATGAGAGAAACAAAAATGTAAGAGAATCATGGACGTTAAGACATGTAAATATGCACAGAATGGAGAAAAAATGAGAGAAAAAAAGTTAGTAATCCAGCCGAGGGGGAGCATAACAACGTGATATATATATGAATAAGAGGAGGGTTCCACTCTTGAATCACCCAGGCATCATGCTTTCTTTTCTATGTCATTATATCAGTAATACCGAGAACTTTAGTCAGTAAATATAATGGAAAATTCATGATATTCGAAAAGTCGTCAAAAATCGGTTTGAAAAAAAAAA